TCCTTAAAAGGACTGACGCTCCTTAATAGTCTGAAGGCCGTGCGTAAATGTGGAATCGGCGCGACACTTGGCGGGAATCTTAATGTCTAATTAACTCTACAGTCAGAATGCGCGGTATATACAGTGCGGGCTTACAATATGAGCAGGTCGCGGTATATACAAACGGTGCTAGAGTCTATCAGGACGCGGAGACCGGAGCGGTCTTACTGGTTACGGTATATGTACAATGGTCTTACAATAGAGCAGGTCGCGGTATATGTACATCGCGGTATTTAGACGGAAAGATACACGGAGACCAAAGTGGTCTTACGGTGGAAACGGTCGCGGTATATACGAACGGCCGTCCAGGTTGAACGGTGCGCGGGGCGCGGTACGGTCTTACGAACTAGGAGTGCGCCGTCCCAGCAACCGGGAAGCCCGGCATAACCACGGGTAGCCCGTGACCTGGTGTAACGCTAGGTATCAGGGTGCACCGTCCCAGCAACCGGGTAGCCCGTAGCCTGGTGTAACACGGTATAGGTTTCGGATCAGGAGTAGTACTAGGTAGGACTCGGGATCGGGAACTGGTAATGCTATGCTCGCCGGAGCGCTTTATATACCGGCGGCCGGCCTCCCACTTGCGCGATTCAGTGCGCGGTGGGGCGGCCCCACGGTGGGGCCGTGACACGGGTGTGGGAGCTTAGGGGCGCCAGTGGCGCCGAGCCTCAGAATTGCGGGCGGCTGGTCGGCCCGCGAGGCTAGTAACGGTATCGTTACAACGTAGTATTCAGTGTGTTCGTGTGCGACATTATGTGTATTCTTATGTATATGTATTAGGGCTCGTGATTGTAATCGATTAGTTGGTTAATTGAAAATCGGTTAACCGGTTGTAACCAAAAGAAACGTTTAATATTCGACTAAACGGTTAATCGGTTAATACGGTTTCGGTTAACCGATTAAACGCTGAAACTGATTAATTACACAGGATCACAGAATAAAAAAAGTATTTTGTTCCGGAAAGAAGACCAACTGTTTCCTAATTAACCAGAATAATCGATTAAATGATTGACCGATTTAAAGATTAATCGAATAATAGTAAACACTCTAACCGATTACCCGTTAACCGATTTTAACCAGAAAATTCGTTTTTAACCGATTAAATGGTTAACCGAATTAATTGGTTTTCATGAGACCTAATATATAAATATTTATTAAATATTATATTTCAGTTCGTGATTATCGATGTCGTGCATCGAAATTATATGCGGTGGGTGCGCGGGAATCTCCAGCGCACGCCAATTTATGGGATGACACTCGAGAGGCCCGCGAATGGGCGGATATTTACCCACGCGTCAACGATGATATATTTGTAACGTTTCACCTTTCCCGACGCCGCGGATCAGGCTCGCCGGTATAGGAATTTAAATTGTAATTTACAAATTCCAATTTTGTCGAAAATTTTTATCAAACATTATTTCTAAATATTGATAATATTGTTAAGAGTGTATTCCAATATTTACTGCCAGTATTGTAAAATCTATAATTTACGTTACTATAGATTTTCAGTACTGGCAGTGACTATCAGAATGCAGCCTATGATAGAAGGCTACAAAATATTTTTCAAAAAATACATCTATCTATTGAATAGATATAAGATAATAAAGAACCAAAAAATAACAAGATCTTATAAATATATGTATGTACAATCATATATACAATTTTATATACTTTTTCAAATACGTACAAAGAAAATATACACAAACATACACAAAAAGAAGCTAAAAAATCCCATACAGCACAGAACTATGCAACATTGCCGCAATGTTGCTACAATGTTGCAATGTTGCTGCAATGTTGTAACAACGTTCTGTGCTGTATGGGATGTATTACAATTAGAAGTAAGTAGGCCAATTCGATATCGTACATTTTCAGACAAGATGTCAATTAGCAATTTTTTAGCTAATTATTTTTTATTTTGAATAATCTGTATTGTAAAATCTTTTAAATATACATATATACATACACTGATAATACAATTTTATATACTCTTTCAGATACATACAAAGGAGATACCCAAAGGAGCAGGGTTGGGAACGTTACTCTATAAAAGTAACGCGTTACCGTTACCGTTACTTGGAAAGTAACGATTCGTTACTTTTTCGTTATGTTTTTGTTTTTTGTAATGCTAAAATAAGCTATTAGATTATAAAATTATTTAATAATCAATATTAAATGTAATAATCTATGTTACAATTAAAAACTCTAAATTAGTCTCTATATAGCAAGCGTTTTTTATATTAAATTTATTTAATGATTCAAATTTTTTATGTTAATATCTTTACTTTTTAATACACTTATCTTTATAGGAATTTAAATTGTAATTTACAAATTCCAATTTTGTCGAAAATTTTTATCAAACATTATTTCTAAATATTGATAATATTGTTAAGAGTGTATTCCAATATTTACTGCCAGTATTGTAAAATCTATAATTTACGTTACTATAGATTTTCAGCACTGGCAGTGACTATCAGAATGCAGTCTATGATAGAAGACTACAAAATATTTTTCAAAAAATACATCTATCTATTGAATAGATATAAGATAACAAAGAACCAAAAAGTAACAATATAAGTAACGGCTAATTCGTTACCGTTACTGTAAAAATATAACGACATTACCGTTACTGTTACAAACAGAAAAAAGTAACGATCGTTACCGAAAAAAAGTAACTGTAACGGTAACGACGTTACAAGTAACGCGTTACTTCTCAACCCTGTGTGTATCAAAAAGTTGATCTATCTATCTTAGTAAAATTACGAATTTTTTGTTCACATTAATTTTGCAGGTATAACGTTCAGTGGTACATAGCCCCGTTATATGTACAGAAACTAATGCTATTTCTGTTGCAAAGAAATGCCCGAGACTTTACTTTAGGTGTCGGTGGATTATTTATTGGATTGTTAGAGTGTTTCGCAACGGTAAGGAAATAAATATATCGCAGAATTCAGTATTCATTATATTACAAGTAAACATTACAGCTAGTCAAAGCTTCTGTCTCATATTTTACTGTCATATATTTAACACAGTAATAAGGTAAGAAGAGAAATAATAACGAATAAAATATAATGTGGCAAAAATTTAGTTAACGAAGCCTTAATATTACAATCTTTTTATATTACATTTAAAAAAGTTAAAAGTAGTTAAATATATTAATCCTCCAGTTTGTACTTATTGTTAAACAGACAAAAAGAATCTCCAGAAATACAAGATGTTTTCTAAGTGATGTCAAAAACTCCAGGAAGTGATTCCTTGGACGATTTTAAAGAAAAAAGTTTCTATGAACATGGGTCTGCTTTCCTGCAGAGTTATGGCTCTACAAAGTTAAAGAAAAATAAAAGTTTTTTGGCATATCTTTAAAATGGCTTGACTTACATCGGTCATATTCAGTGATCTCTAGTATATCAAACACCCATTGTAGACGAAAACGATCTTCATAACAGAATTGTCGATTCCTTCAAAACTATTCGGAATATGCTCGGAATTTTTGAAAGGGTACGACAGTCAATGGCCAGAAAAATGCAAGCGTGTGTAATGGCGCAAGATGGACACTTCGAACATTTAATTTAGTTAAGTTATTACTTGTTAACATTATAATTCAATTAAAAATTACGAAAAATAATCACAGGATTCTTAGTTCATAGGAACTGAACTTTCTCTTAAAAATCGTCCAAGGAATCACTTCCTGGAGTTTTCGACATCACTTAGGAAACATCCTGTATAAAAATATTCAATTACGAAGAGAGAAAGAGAGAAATATACATATATTAAAAGCACAAATATAAATGTAAGGCTCATAAAACTAAAATCAAGAATGTTGATCTAAAATGGCAAAAGCGAGCCAACTCGTTTTTGCCATTTTAGATCGACATTCTTGATACATATATTATTTCAATTACATAGATTTTCAATGCATCAAAACCTGAGTATTCGATTTCAAATATGAGACGATAATACAACATTATTTAATTTTATATTATTTTCAATATTTACAATATATGTATTGTGACATTATTTTTAAATAAATAATAAATATTTTATATGTTGTTAATGTTAGTATGGCCAAACCTTTTTTATAGGGTTAATTTTTTTTATAATAGATAGCTTATCTGCAAAAAAAAAAAAATCATAATTTGAGAAATAAGGTAATCTTTAATAACAATCATATTATCATTAGATATAAGTTAATGATTTAAATGTCTTACGTATGTAAAGCTAAAAGAGATGATTACTCTTAAAGATGCATAAGATGAGCTATTACATCAAATGCTATATACCAAATAAACAGATTTGATTAACGTTACATTGTTTTTATGCATTTCGATTTTTGATATTTGTATATTGGGACAAATATTTTGTTTTCATACATCTAACTGATCCTTATTAGCGTCTTCAAATTTTTAAATTTAAGCATTTTTTGATTAAAATGATGTAAGTAAATAATGATTTATGTAAATATACAAACGACAGTTGATAATTCTAACATATTATATACCATGCACAGACCTAATTAAATTTAAATTTTGAATATCATAAACTTTACCAGGAAAGCCCGATACTCTCAATAGTGAATGATATTTGTCTCGAAGACGAACCGTACGTTATGACCGCGGACAATAGAATGAAATGTGTAAATTTGCGGTATAAAAAAAGCGGCGAATACGCAGGCGCGACTTTCGCGCGAGTATTTCCCTCGATAAATATTCTCATTCCTTTTATCTTATGGTAAACGCCAACCGAAATTACTCCGCTATCAAATCGATCGCATAATTGAGGACTTTATTGCGAGAAATATTGTTGAAGTGTGAATATTTTTATTTTACCGCATCTTACTGTTGCGTGGGTTTGCGTTACACGAAATTATATGCAATTTGTGCTAAAATTGATAAAAAAAAGTAATAAAATACCTGACCACACAATAGAAAAAGAAAAGAATAAGTGCACCGTCAAAGAGTTTTTCACATTCATACATGTTCTAGAGTTCATGGAGAGATGATGTGTAACACGGCACGATATTTTAATCTTAACAGAATACTTTTGCTGACTATAGGCTTGTGGCCCTATCAACAATCAAAACTCAGTCGACTTCAATTTATTTTCTTTCTCGGTATTTTGACGACTGCTATTTTATTTCAGGTAAGACAACATCTTGATGTTATTACTGCAAGCTAAACTATAATATACAATGATTTATAACAGTTCTTTATTATTTATTGTTTGTTTCAATAATTCATAATTTACTAAATTGCACTCATAGTTTATATTGAAAAGAGCAGTTATTATACAGGACATCGCAAAAACGAAAGAAAAAATACTAAAAAATCAAATCACATAATAAAAATAATTAATAGATTGGTATGCGCATCATGTAAGAGAAAGTAGGGTAAACCCGGGTACTTTTTTGGATTTGTCTTTTTACAAAAAATCTGAGAGTAAAAAAAATTGTGCCGACCGTTAGTAGTCTTTAGTAAACCTTAAAGTATGAGAAAATAAGGCTAATTGCTAAAAAAAATTTTTGGTTACCAAAAATAACAAGATTTTGTGGAGAAGTCAGAGTACCCGGTTTTGTCCTACCGGTAGGGTCAAACCGGGTACCCATTTGAAAATATGCAAAACACCGTGTAATTACAAAATTTAGATTTATTTTAATCAAAATACAATATAAAGATTTATTCTATTGACAAAAGTCACAAATAAAGGTATCCTCTTGTTCGACATTGCTGCAGAACTTTCTTATTTAATTTTTTAACTAGGGGTCTCAAAAAGTTTTTTTTAGTGTTTTTTTTTCTGAGTGTTAGTTTTTGTTTCCAACTGCTTTTTGTAGAGGGACAAAATTAGGATAACAGTTCTTCCTCTTTTCATTACATGAGATGTGTAAGTACCCGGTTTTGCCCCGACATAATAAAAGTAACAAATACGGCAGTTGTATAATCCGGCGTACAAAGTGCTGATCAAAATTAATATGACATACTCTCTAATATGTACAGAATGCAATGCTGCATTTACCGAAGCAGATGTTCTGTATAGAAAAAGTCCATAACGACTCGATTGTTGTCCCGATCTTTTTTGGCCCGAAAATTTTGAACTTTTCTCAAAAAGGAAATATTCTGTGCACAGGAGCACGGTTTGTTTTAAAATAATGATGGCGCCAATCTACAACTAATAACACAAGTTAGCCATAAATAGCAGCACTTATTACGAAAAAACAGAGGTACTCGGTTTGACCCGCCTACCCAGTTTTACCCAATTTTCCCCTACTCTCTAATATGTACAGAATGCAATGCTGCACTTACCGAAACAGATGCTCTATATAGAAAAAGTGCACGACGATTCGATTCTTGCCTCGAATCGATCTCTTTGGAGCTAGAAACTTTGAACTTCTATTAAAAAAGAAATATCGTGTGCAGAGGGGCACGGTTTGTTTTAAAATAATGATGGTGCCAATCTACAACTAATAACACAAGTTAACCATAGATAGCAACACTTATTACGAAAAAACAGAAGTACCCGATTTGACTCGCCTACCCGGATTTACCAAACTTTCCCCTATATACAGCGTGGTCCTCGTAACGGTCGCCACAATTTTTAAGGTGTAAACTGTGTGTGATATCATTGCTTTCGACTTTGATTATTTGTTATTTGGAAATTGTGATTTCGATATTTTTCTATATTAAAAGTTTCTTTTCTAATTCATATATAGATGTACAGGATAGTATGTATATATTTATATATATACAAATGTATATATACATTATGTTATTTAAATACAGTACGATGATTTTGAGAAACACCTGTATATAATTGTAATTACGAATTATTTTCACGTAATATAATTACGTATAGAAAAGCAATTATTATAATTTAGAATATTGAATCTATTTGGATATATTTCTATAAAATTTTAACAACAATTAATATAGATAAACATATGATATACCTATATCTAAAGCATGCTTATAATATTTTTATATGATATAAAAGACATATTCTTTGTGTATCTTATTCTTTAAAACACAGAATATCATTTATTATTATTTTATTTATACTTTTTCTTATCTCTAATTATAATGTTAATTATATGTTAGAACCAGTACTATAAAACTTATAAAATAAAAATAAAAAATTAATTTTTAACTGAGAGTACATAAAAAACAAAATTCAACTGTAGACTGTAATGAATCCGTTGTGCGATTAGCGGTCAAGCAAATCACAAAAATTACGAATTAATAATCAGTTAAAAAAAAAACAGATTCTTTAATGCAAAAGTTAAAAAAAAATTGTTACTTGTAGTTTACTACATTCCTTAATTCAAAATGCACCGCTGATTTCGTCGTTAAGATTCTATCAAGCGCGCTCTTTTTTACTACTTTTGTGATAAAATATATCTTCTTCGCTATTAATGCCGAAACTGTAAGTTAACGATTTGTAATATTTATTCTAAGAGACAGTTCTGAGAGACAATGACATTTTTATAACTAGCAATTCTTTCTAACATATAAAAACGGTATAACAGAGTGTTGGATTAATAGGTGAAAGATTTATTGACACAACTTCAACATATATACGATCAATTAAAAGATGAATGTGAAAACGCTATCGTTGAAAGATATAGTTACAATGCAAAACGTTACACGATTGCGCTTACAAGTAAGACAAAATATTGTATTATGTGTGTGTAAAATTTTGGATCATTATGCAATAAAAGTGTAAATGATAATTGTTTTTTAGTATGCAGTATTTGTAGTATATTTGCTCTTATTGTCGCACAACTTTGGCCGAATGTAATTGATGTTATTTTACCAAGAAACGTATCTCAAGCACGTCGCCTGCCAATTATGACAGAATATTTCATCGATCAAAAAAAATATTATTCTTTCATTCTTCTGCATTTAAATGCAACAATTTGCATAGGATCGGCTGTAATGCTGTCAATCGGAACAATGCTTATTGCATATGTTGAACATGTTTGTGGACTGTTTAAAATCTCTAGGTATAAAACAAAACTGTAATCTTGTATAAATAAATATGAATATAGAGAATTTATATTTGCAAAATTATTTTGTAAAATTTAATAAATATGCTTCATGTTAAACGTATTATTCACAGTTATCGCATTAAACACGCAATGAGAGCCATTGTGTTACAAAATATTAGTACAAAAAACGATACATTGATGTTAGAAGAAATAAGATGTGCTGTAGATATACATCGGCAAGCTATGGAGTTAGTATCAACTCGATAATTTGCGTAAAATACGTATAGTAAAATTTGTTGTTTTTGAAGATTATCCAAAACTTTGACATCCAAATTTGAAGCAATGTTGTTCTGTTTAATAACATTAGGAGTAATATCACTCAGCCTTAATCTCTTTCAGGTATGCCTCAAATTATATTCTTAAATCTGCTTTTGAACGAGCATGTAATATATGTTGTGTGATACAAAAGAGACATATCTTACATTCCTAATTTTTCTCACTTTTTTTTACTCTGACATTTTTGTTTAACTAATATTGCGTATAAATTACATTTCTGTAAACAAGATAAAGAACTAAGACAATGACAATCACTGAAAATCACAATGTAAACTTTCCGGGCATTATATTTTGGTATAAATTTATTATATTTTTTATTTATCTATTTTAAAACTTATTATTTGTGTGTCATAGAATGATTGACAAACTGTATCTAGGAGATTGTTTACAGTCATAAAATTTGTATGTTTTAGATTTTTCGGATTGTATCAGTCGGAGATAATATCGATGAGATATTAGCGCCCTCTTTAATTGTATTTTGCAGTATTTTATATATGTTCTGCGCCAACTTTTTCTCGCAAAATGTAACAGATCATAATGATCATGTATTTGTTACCGTGTAAGATATAATTTTATAAAATACAATTATATAAAATAGTTATATACTATGTACTAGATGCTATCGAAAATTTTCCGGACTTACTCTATAAAAAATGTTAGTCTTATCTTATTTACAATTTGCTTCCATCCTCTTCGAAGTAATCTTTTTGTGACTTTATACAGCCACTCCAGCGCTTCTGCCATGCTTCAAATTTTCCCTGGAAATATTTTTGCTGCAGCGTGTGAAGCCTCTGCGAATCCTCTGCAATTCTTGTACCGGTCTCGATTTTTTGTACCGTTTTGAAACGTTCCCCTTTGAGCTTCAGTTTTATTTTTGGGAACTAAAAGGAGTCATAAGAGGCTAAATCTGGCGACGGTCCTCACGAATGATTTTTGCAATTTTTTCAACATTTGCGAGGGTTGTGCTGTCTCGCGGTCATCTTGTGTTGTTGTCGTTTTCGATCAACGTTCGGCTTTTTTTGAAGCGTACATGCCACTCGAAACACTGTATGGCCTAGAGAATCTCGATGGCCAATTTTCTGAGTTTGACACAAAACTTTGGTCAAAACGTTTCGAAACGGTATAAGAGAACGTCGTTGAATCGCAGAGGGTGCTTCAGACGCTACAGCAAAGTCCAGGGAAAATTTGAAGCATAACAGAAGCACTAGAGTGGCTGTATAAAATCACAAGGGAACTACTTTGAATGGGATGGAGGCAAATTGTAAATAAGGTAAGCCTAACATTTTTTATACAGTAAATCCGGAAAATTTTTGATAGCATCCTGTATATATATACAGGGTGGACCAGTAACTCTTGCCACCTGAAATATTTCCGTTACTTGTAATAATATGGAAAAATGTTATATACAAAAGTTTTGTGACTTCGAGGGGGACTACGAGTTATTTTATATTTTAATCTGACATATTTTGATATAAAAAATAAAATATCTTGTAAAATATTTATTTTTCGATCATCTTACCGTAATACTTTTATGTACAGAATAATGAGACAAATCAATTAGTGTAAAAAAAATAATTGTTTTTAAGAAAAAGTATGTAATTATTTACATTGTACTTGTCATTTAAGAAATCGGAAGTGGCCTTCAGGCGATCTTCAAACGACTATTCAAGGTCAAACCAATGACACCATCTTATGTCCCCCTCGAAGTCACAAAACTTTCGTATATAACATTTTTGCATATTATTACACATAACGGAAATATTTCAGGTGGCAAGAGTTACTGGTCCACCTTGTATATATGCACATGTGTATTAAAGAGTTATTGATCTATTTATCTTTCTAAAAATATATATACGAATTTTTGTTCACACTAATTTTGTAGGTATAACGTTCAGTGGTACTTAGCTCCGTTATATGTACAGAAAGTAGTACTGTTTTTGTTGCAAAGAAATGCCCAAGACTTTACTTTAGGTGTCGGAGGATTATTTATCGGATCGTTAGAGTGTTTTGCAACGGTAAGGATAAGAATATATCTCAGAAAGTATTAAATATATTACAATTAAACATTACAGTTGGTAAAAGCATCGGTCTCATATTTTACTGTCATATATTCAACGCAATAACAAGGTAAGAAGAGAAATAATAACGAATAAAATATGATCTGGTAAAAATTTAGTTAACAAAACCTCCCTTAATATTACAAATTTTTTATATTACTCATCATTCCAACAAATACCGCCTAAATAGTCATTTATGGTTACATAGTTAGCACGCTTAAAATTCCATTTTAATTCAAAAGCTGGTGAGAGAGATGATCGAATTGATATCGCAATGATATTACAAAGGCTAGACAATACTGAGCGCACGCATATAACGGCTTAGATGCTGGTAACACTGGAGAGATATCACGTAATGTGAAAAACACAAGATCTAATGTGTTATGATTCACATTGAGAATATTATTATGCTGATACAAATTAAATTCATTAAAGAAATGCATAATATTATTAGCCTGCTCCAATACATAGCAATAACAATCCATACTATATAGTAAATAAACTTTATTATTATGCCAATATGTATGGGGCAAATTGTAATCACCGACAATTAGAATATCAGTATTAGTTAATATAGTATTAGTTGATATAGTTATTACTTCTTCAACGGAAAAACAGTGTGACTCATAAACAGAAAGATCCGAGGCAGCAGGTAAACAATGCCGATAATTATTTGTTTATGGTGCAGCCGAATGTCAACGAGAAGTTGCTCAACATGTGCCGTCGTTATTTCCAAAGTACAATAAAATAAACAATTGTGAAACGCGATCAATACGCCATCTTTATAAAAATAATCATTATTATCATAATTTCTATCTAAAAGAAATACATTAAAATTATCTGAGCCTAATTCGCCATATATAATACTGTCATTTAACCATGTCACATTAACGTCACATTATATATTACAACATGGCAAATATTATTTTTATATTAATTTATTCTTATTAGCGTCTCTGGATTTTTAAATTATTAAAGCATTTTGTTGATCAAAATGGTGTACGTAATAAAAGTTTATGTAAACATGCAAAACGACAGTTAGTAATACTAACATATTGTGTATATATATATATATATATATATATTATGCACAGACCTGATTGAATATAAATTGTATTTATATAATTGTATGTAAATAGTGTTTTTATATCAGCAAAATAAATAAATAAATATATGCTTCTTGATAAACATATTAATCACAGTTATCACATTAAACACGCAATGAGAGCCATCATGTTACAAAATATTAGTACAAAGAACAATACGTTGATGTTAGAAAAAATAAGATATGCCGTGGATATACATCGACAAGCTATGAAGTTAGTATCAACTCAATAATATGCGTAAAATACATATAGTAATATTTATTGTATTTGAAGATTATCCAAAACTTTGGTATCCAAATTTGAAGCAATGTTGTTCTGTTTAATAGCAATAGGGGTAGTATCACTGAGCCGTAATCTCTTTCAGGTATGCTCCAAATTGTATTCTTAAATCTACTTTTGAGCGAGCACTTAATATTTTATAATATAAGTATGTATGATGTGTTATATGATATATGTGTTATATGATGTATGTATGATATATATTATATGATGTATGTGTTATATGATATAGAGACGTTTCCTATTAATCTTTTGCTTCCTTATAGAGGAAGCTTTGTTTTCATGACAAAATTTTTTTTTAAGTTTTTTATGCCAATGTGTTTAGAATGTTCTCAAACGTCGAAAAATCATATTCGTAAAAAATGTCTGTATGTCTGTATGTATGTATGTGTGTATGTGTGTATCTGTGTATGTGTGTACAATTAATATATTGTCCAACCTCTAACTTTCGCAATTTTTGAGATATCGGACTAAATTTTGAATTTCGTGAGAATCGATGAAAAGATTCATTTCTTATAAAATTTTTAATTTTTTGGGAAATGTCTCATGTACACATTGTAACTTTCGCAAATTTTGAGATATCAGATTAAATTTTTTTACTGGATACTTTTTTAATGGATAAAGTATTATTAAAGGATGGTTGCTACTGAATTTGGTGAGTATCGGTAAAAGGGTTTATTTTTTATAAAATTTTGAATTTTTTAGGAAATGTCTGTATACGTTGTAACTTTCGTAAATTTTGAAATATCGGGTTAAATTTTTTTACATGGATAGATTATTATTAAAG